GCGCCACGCCCATACGCTTCCGCAGTGCGTCGCATGAGGCACCGGTCCTCCCGCGGGCGCCCGTATTCCCCGCCCCCCCTCCGCCCGGTGCCCCCCTGCCACTGGAGCGCGCGTCTGGAAGCTTCTCTGGGAGGCCGAAACACAGGCTGCCGAATGGGCTGCACCCGCAGGCGATGGAGCCATTTAGCGCACCTCGAACCCCCCGCGACACCGAAACTAAATAGCCGCTGCGGTTGCCGTGGGGGGAAGAGGGTCGGGCAAAGTACGGCCAGGGCGGCCTTCACAATTTTGTGCGCGGTGCCAGCTGAGTGGGTGGATATGTGTTGCGGCGGTGCGGCCGCTGTAGCCGTTTGCTTAGTGAGGGGGTGGTCGACTTCAGTAGGATCCCCGCGACCTGTTCACGAGCAAATAGGGCTTGCTGGCGGCAACGCTACATCCTATACCATTTGCCACGTGTCAGACGTCGAAGGCGAGGGGCGCATCATGTAGTGCGCCCTCAAACGGCCCCCTAAGCATCACTACCGGAGACGCTTAGGGGCACGCACGCAGCACCATTACCGCCCGCAAAACGCCAATATAATGCCCAGATATAAATTCTCTCATGACAAAAAGGGATGCCTCACTACACTGCAGCTCGCAGCAAAACGCCTACATACAAAAACAAACAAAACAGACAGAGAGGAAAAGCAAAAGCGTGCCACACCGCCGCCCCACCCCCGGCCCCGCCCGGTGCCCGCGCCACGCCGCCCAGCGCACATGGCGCGCAGACTGCACGCATTTTTCGTAACCAAATTAAGGCAAAAACAGATACACATTCAAAAGGGGAATACGCCTGCGACGCGGCTTCCTCCTTCGACGGAAACAAATAAAAAACGGCCAGGCCCACTGCGCGCACCACTCAAATATGGGCTGGTTTATCTCGCGGCCGCAAAAGGCAAACCGTTCACGCATGAAGGCGTTTGGCGATGGCCGGGGTCGTTGGGCCCCACGCAGCGACAGCCACCACGCTCCGCGACCACCGGGCGCCCCGCGTGCGGAGGGGCTTGCGGCGAAAGGAAAAAACCGGATTCCATTCGCCACCCCAACGCGCCACCGCAGAAAACAAACCAAAAAACACACGCACAAAGAAATCGCCCCGGCATTCATTCAGCCTCGTCGAGGAGCGTTTCTCTCCGCACAACTCAACAAGAAATTAATAAATAAAAAGGGAGAAGCGCAAGACAATCCCGCTCGCAGAACAATTTATTTACAAGGTGAGAGGCGCGAGGGCCGTCCCACAGAAGCCCGTACCGCCGCCGCTTGCGCCCCACAAACGAAGAAGCTGCCACCCGCGCCAAGCAGCGTGGTTGCCTACAACCAAGTCCTCCTCACCGGCACGCCTCCTCCGTCGCGGGCGGCAACGCCCAAAATGGAAAAAACAGAACAAAACAACAATACACATAAATTCAAACAGAACGCTCAAAATAAAATAAAAATGGCCAGCAGTGAACACAAACAAATGGCGCGCGCGAGAGGCAGTCCGATGTCATTGTGCTCCGCCCACGTCACGGCGGCGACCCTCGCACCTTCCTCCCTGCTTCCGCAATTCGCACCATCGCCGGGATGCTCATTGGCAAACGGAAAGCACAACAGAAGGCCATCGTGGACGGTAAATACAGCGGCAGCGTGGACGGTAAATACAGCAGCAGCGCGGACGATGGTGCCAGCCCACTGGGCTCCGCTCCTGCAGGAACTCCACCAGCTTCCGCCTCGCACCGTCTGCCGCGTGGAGAGCCGACCCTGGGACCGCGCAGTCACCCAACAGAGAAACAAAAACCAACAAACCTATACCTAAACGTGCATTGCGCACCCGCGCCAGCTCTCACAACATTCGCATTCATTTCTCGTATCCCACTGATTGCATCAGGACTGATGGCCGCGCACACACAAAAAAATTAAAAAATAAAAACATGCTATTTTTACGAACTCAGCTACATCCAACCCCAAGCCCGCCCCTCGTAAACACACAGCTATCACCGGGCACAGCAGCATTGCCGCAGAAGCCACGCGCTGCCCATATCCCTGCCCCAATAAAAACCCACAATGCACGTGCCTATTGTAACTCAATTGTATCCAGATCATCCCCATTCACCACGCGTCCGGAGACCCTGCCGCGCCGTACCCTCCTCCTCGTATTCTCAAGAGAGGCGCCATCTGCGCTTTCAGCAATCTCCTCGCCCCTTGGAAACTCCACACTTGCAAACGTACCCGATGCAACGCGCCCATGACCATGGCGTCTGGACAACCTCAACGGCTGGGAAGTATCTGCTGCGGGTGGTAGAAGTGGCGAAGACTCAAAAGGCACCGCAGGTTGTGAAGGCGACATAGAGGAATTCCGCTGCGACACATGCTGCTGCTCACTGGGAGAACGCATAAAAAAATCGGGGTCCTCAGAGAAACCCGAGCCTCCTTGCCGCCTCTGTTGGGCTTCATAAAACACATTGCCCTTCACCCCCCGCAATTCCATGGGCACCACCCTTGTGGATTCATCATCGGTACGACGACGGCAGCAGCAGCATATTATGACAGCTAATGTAATCGCAGCAAGCGGCAACAATATGGCAAGAAGAATGGCGAGCCAGTGCTCCTGCGCCCACGGTGCCACCACCTCCGGCGGCAACGTTGTCGTGGTCGTCGTCGTGTTGGTGGGGGTCTTCGTCGTCGTGGTCGTCGGGGTCTTCGTCGTCGTGGTCGTCGGGGTCTTCGTCGTCGTGGTCGTCGGGGCCTTCGTCGTCGTGGTCGTCGGGGCCTTCGTCGTCGTGGTCGTCGGGGCCTTCGTCGTCGTGGTCGTACTGATTTCGTCTTGCACTTCACACACTGTGCTGAATGCCACAGGA